AACCCTTCTGGAAAGCCTGGCTTAGATTTGTCCACTTCAAATAGCTTGTTTCACCTACGTACCTTCCCTTGGGAACTGTTGTCCCAGCTCATTTATAAATCTCTTCCTTATTACTGGTTCTCTCACAGATTCTTGGGGATCCCCTCCAGTGAATCCCTCATTTATGAAATCTGTCTTTTACTCCTAAACTCCATTATTGTCTTTTGAACAGTTAATCTATGAAAGGACTTTCCCCCTCATCTCCTGACAATTTAGCTTTCTAAGAGCGCTCTGTGAGGAACCGAAGAGGATTTGAAAGTCCAGATATGCTTCTCAGCTGAACTACCTTCAACCATATACCCAATGACTCCTGAGAACTGAAACCTTGTGAGCACGACTGTCTTTGCAAAACCACACTGTGAATTATGTGAAGTACAGAAAGATGGGAGGTGCCTCAAAATCATAAAGATGATTCAGGAATTAAGTCTCCAAAGCTATTTTCGTGTGTAATTTCTATTGATTCCATTTTGCATTCAAGTCTGAATTTATTGTGGGTTTCTAACTTAGTGGTTATGAATGCCAAAAGGAAAATTTCTCTGATGTTCACTACTCTATACCTAAAATTAATCTCCTATGTCCTTGAAATTTAATTAAACTAGATGATAGTCTTTTAAATCGTTAGCCTACCATATGTTGGAAAAAAAGTAGCAAAGTTAAATTAATAAATCACATCAGAAAGTAAATTAAATACTGCATTTGAAGCCAGCCTCTCTCTCATTTTCCTTGTTGTTCAAACTGAGTCAGTGCTGACAAGAAGCATTTAAAAGTGGTCAGGACAAAGCACTTTAGAATGTACTGCACAGAAAGCTGTGCATGCAAGGCACTGAATGAACTAGATTTCCTAAAGTGTTTTCCCATTCCTGATTGTTTTGGTGTGAAACTGGTAAAATGAATTACATTTTAGACCTGATGGAGTAGAAATAAAAGCTTCACAAAGATGGAAAATGAAGGAAGAAAACCATGTCAGAAATATAACTCCCCTGATTTACCTGTTGCCTACTGTAAAGCTAAGTCAACAGGATCTAATGCCATTACTATGTAAAGCACATAAAATAACTAAATTCACAAAGGGAAATTCAAAATTAAGAAAAAAATGTAATTCTTCTTTGATGATAATTGTTTAAAGCAACACCTAAGCCCATTCACTATGACACCATAATACACAAAAAGCTCTGCTGTTGAACAAGCATTGGTAGAAAGCATTTGTCCAAACCTCAGCAAAAGTAATTGCTTTTCAAAGGATACTTCTTCTAAACTACTCAGCAGTGTGAACATCTGAGAGAAAACCAGCAAAAGAACACTTTCATCTTGGTATTTATTTCTTTTCTGTTTTTCATCCTAGCTTGTGACCCTTTTACATATGTCTTTATCAAGGACAGATTAAGTTATGACTGGGTATTATGCAAGGCTAACTTCACATCCCTTTAGAAGGATAAAGTAAATGACTTCAATGGTAGTGGATTCTGCCACTCCGGTTGATGTCCAGTGGCTTCCAGCTGCTCTTTGATTTTGGTTTTAAAATCTGTAGAAACACAAATAGCTTGGATTTAAGCAAGTGACATCCTATTTGGTTTGAAACGAGTAAGTTTCATGTGTAATCTGATTAAAATAATGATAGAGATGTTTGCAAAGTCATGTGGACTATTTTACCAGCGACTAAGCTGGTGAACAGCACAGGTTGAAGACTGCCTTTGGCTGAAGTCTCCATGGTACAGTACGTCAGATGATATGAACTGAATATGACCTTGAGAATGAAGAGTCACTCTGCAACCCCAGCAGAAGGTACCCTAGGTAGATTGCCCAGTAGTTCACCAAGCCTCTGGGTTGAAGGAAGACATATCCACTATGTTAAGGGAAGGCACTTGAGGTCAGTTATTCATCTCGTATTCTGAAACTTGAAAGAGATCTCTTTGCCAGAGGATCTAAATTTGGTTTTCTTTCTCTGTAACTATTCCCCAAAATCCTTTATATGTAACAGAATGTTGGAAGATAATCTGAAATGTCAAATTGTATCTTTGCCATCAGACTACGCTGGTTTAGAGACAGTTTTATTAACTACATCTGTACTGCTGAAGTAAGTCACACCAAGGATTCTACTGTTCCTGGGGCCCACTATCACCACATGGCTCATGACCACAGCATGTAGCTTTAGTCTCCAGTAGAGCAGGTTCATCTAGGAAGTAGCTTGTTGGCATGGTCCACACCAGAGTGAGCTAGCCCACGAGCAGCATGGACACTGAAGTTCCAGCACTTGGGCTGACCATGGGTTCCCTTCAACAGCAGGAAGGAAGCCTGTGGAACACATTTAAGGGCTCAGGGGGACAACAGGACACCTGCCCAACTGCAGTCTCATGGGAAAAGTATCATCCCAGCTCAGACATGTTGGTCTCGATCTCTGGAGGGTTTCACTGTTAATTTATAGAAAATAGTGGCAGGGTAGAAACACAGAGTCATTCTCTGAATTAATTATTCGGTCTTTGAAAAAAGTTTTTCTGACAAAGTTTGAAAATGAGCTACAGAAACACACACTTTTTTTGCAATGAGCAAACAGTTCCGTTTTGGGAGAACAGGTAACAAGATTTATCGGGGAGAAGGAGATTCAAATCTGCTCAGGCAGAGAAGGAAAGCGAGCAAGTGCTCCTAATACCTCAGGTGAATGCTGTACCTCTTGCATCCAGGGTAAATCAGCATCTACTGCAGTTCTGAATAGAAAACTAGCATGCGGATTGGGCACACTTCCTTCTGGGTTTTGTGAGAAAGAAGTGACACAGCCAACTGTATGTGGGGGGAAAAGCAGGGCTCTAAATCCCATTGGGAAATCAGTGGCTCCTTACAGCTAAAGGTTGGGTGATGAAGACCTGAAAGAATACAATTTCAACATCCCTGTCCCTAATGTCTGATGGCTCCCCAGTTGAGTTTCAACAGCGTAAGCTAGAAAGCAGAGCTGTGACATTGAAGACGAATCGCTCAGTGCAGGTGACAAAGCTGTGACCTAGCAGGGAGCAGGGGAAGTTGGGACCTTCCAAGTCCTTCGTTGAGCTCAGTACATTTTCTTTCTGCCCATAGATCCCTCATGAGTAACAGAACTTAATTTTTTTAAAAATGAATGAAATACATATGGCAACACAGCTGTGGAAAATCTGTTACCCTTTTAAATCACCTCTCATGTCCTGGGCATGGATTTTATCCTTCAAACTCAGTAAAAGGGAAAGTTCTGTGAGGAAGGCAGCTCCCTGTACTATTGGGGGACTTTGTGGTGTTATAAAGTCATGCAAGAGAAGCCTTGCCTATAAGACTATCCGGAACTTAGGTCTCAGTGGGTTCATCTTTAAAAGACTTTACATATTTATAATCATGGGGACAAGCAGAATTTCAGATTTTTCACAGAGGGACTGTAAACTGTAAAGAAATTAAATTGAAAAAGGAAAGGACCATGCTTTTTTTCTTAATGATGGTGATCTTTTGAAATTAAAAGGATGTAAACCCTGGATAGATGTTCAAACAAGCCTTTCAATGCTGCATTTACCCACCTGCTCACGGGTACGCTGTGGAATAGTCCTCAGGCTGAAGTGACAGAGGCTCCAAAGCACTGTTTACTGCCCTTCCTCCTTCCATAAACACTCCATGCCATCAGCAGTCAGAGAGACTATTTCTCATTTGGTAACCTTGGAACACACCACTGGTTATGCATGTTTGCGTGTCAGCTCCAAGGTAAGGAGAGCAAGTCTGGTGATATATTCAATTCCAATGCTGTAGCTGGGGAGACAGAGAAAAACGCAATTATTGAAAGAGGTGCTTCTGTGAAGGAGCAGTGATTTATATCCTGAATAGGTATAAATTATCCTCCCTCCCCACCCCCAAGCTCAGAAAATGTACTCCATATTCAATAACTTGCTACTGTGATGTTTTTTCTTGCAGTCTCTGATTCTCTGTTAAGAGCAGAAGGCTGTGGTTCAGACAGAGATATGAGGGAGTATTGCCTGTGAGGGAGTGGGCTCCTTGTGAGCCCAAGAAGCAGTCACTTTAAGTGAACAATGAAGTGTTTGTCAGTCGAAGGAAAGGTCTTTAACTAGGCCAAGCTGCTGGACCTACGATTCTTCCCTGTTGGAATGAAGAAGAATAGAGCTGCTTGTTTGTTGGTTTTGAATCCTTCAGGGAGGGCTGCCAGTAACTGTTAACTTGTGTATTATTGTGCTATCAGACTGGAGAAATGGAAGCGAGAATTTAGCAGCACAGTCACAAACCTTTCATCACACAGTTATCATGGTGATAAAGTTCAGTGGAAGTTACTCACCTCTCCAAAAACAGATATTACCCACTCAGACAAGAGAGAGAATGGATTTCTGCAAGATGGTGCTATATTAGCTTCTGCTGTTGCACCTAACTCCCCAATACCACTAAATCCAAGTGCCCAGTATGCTTTGAAGCATTGATTCTCAGAGTGCTCCTGTGAGCAAGGAGGGGCTATCCTCTGTCTTTTTTCCTAGACCGGAGACAGAGGTGCCAGGCTGCGGTTAGATTGAGCCATGGCTACGCACTGCAGTGAACTTGGGCCCCTGGATCTCTGGGTCATTCATTTCAACCTGGCTGGAGCAAACTCCAGGCTACCAACATGACCACATCTCCTCCCCAGACCAAGCCCAGGGAGAGTGACGAGAAACCTGTGGAGTCAGAGCTCTTCCCTATGGGGTTGGGATACAGCTTTCTGCTTGGTGCACTTGGTTTAGTCATAGCTAGAAAAGTTAAAGCTCTGATTCATAAACACTGTCAGTCACCTAGTTTCCATGTATTTTTATGTGAGTTTTAATCGCTTGATTGTCTTTGAAACCTGGACTTTGTATCACAGCTTAGCCGTCTAACTTGCTTACATGCTTTGGAGGGGTGCACCTCAACTACTCAAGTATACAGCATGCTCGATAGACAGGTGATTGTGTCTCCTATTTGTCTTCTTTGTCCCCCAGGAAGATGAAGTGGCTCGTGACAGTCGATTCAATTTCAGTGGCTATGGCATGGGTCACTGCCTCCAAGTCAAAGATGGCACAGCAGTCAAGGCTGCTCCACCCAACCCACCTCCAGCACCACCAAAGGATTCAGATTCCATCAAAAAGAAGTTTGTTGACCGTGCAAAAAGGATTGATACAATATCCCGTGCTGCTTTCCCACTCGCCTTCCTCATTTTCAACATCTTTTACTGGATTACATACAAAATTATACGGCATGAGGACATTCACAAGAAATAGGCAACTCTGGTTCACCAGGACTTCTTAGCCAAAGTGATCCACGTGTAAATAAACAGTGAAATTTGGACTAAGGGTTTCTTCCTGCCCCCCCACCCACCCCCCTCCCCCCGGACACTGAAGAACAAATGAACAAAGAGGAAAAGAAGTATAGAAGGAAAAGTGATTGCATGAAACAATATGCCAGGAGACCGGTCAATGAGGGTTCCCCCTATGTACTCTCAGTGTTGTTCTTCCAGAGTCAGCATTGATCAGACATCTGCAAATGGGGCCAAATTTTACCCAGCTTTATCACCAAGATGTTGTCTTTCAAAGCAAAATAGAATCAGAAACCAAACAATTCTCCTAAAATATCTACCAAAAGACTGTGGTGGCTACAGTACAGTGAGTTATAAGAGGACCAAACTTTTTCAGGATAATGTTGCCTTTCTATTTGAAACAAGTCTACTGAGCTACATTCCATGACCATGTCTGTAGTTAGTGGTTTCACAAAGGAGTCCTTTTGTGGATTGTAAATTATTTCTACTGACAGGGGAGAGGAAAAAAATAAAATAAAAAAAAATATTTATACTTTACTATCCTTGTGGGTGTGCATTTTAATATTATCTTGCTTTACTAGAATTGTAATTTTGGGGTTGAACTCGTGTGTTGTGCAATTTATTTGATAGTTGACACTTCAAAACCTGTGAAACTGCCCGGTTTATTTTTGTTGGAAGACAGTGCACTTACTTCATTTTATTTCTGCTGATTTTACATGCAACTTGAGGTGCCAAACTGTATTTTACCTATTGTGCTACCCTGTACCACACTACTTAGTAAGAACTTGTTTCCTCAAAGGTGTAGCTCAGTTTAGCATTGAGTTTCTACTACTGCTCTCATTGTAGCTGCAATCAATAGCTCTATAGGTAAACACAACTTGTTTACAGACCTCTAATTTATATCTTTACTCAAAGTGGCTATCATTTTAAATATCATTACTTAACCTAAGAATTTTAAAACTGTACTGTGATTTTCAGAACCTGTTACCTTTTGGTGCCGGATCTGCATTATTCAAATCCTTGCTACATGTTTTAAAGTAGAAAAAAAAAAAAAAAAAAGATGGTATTTTTGCTTACACAGAAGACAACCTGTAACATAAGATGAATCAAACATTAAAATTTTACACTTGCTGTAAAAGGGTTTATTAAAAAAAGGTATTTGTTCAATTTCAATAAAGCTAAATGTGGTACTAACATTCCTTCACTCTTTTCTTCATTTGCAGCAGCAGGGCTGTTCGTGCCAGGGCCCAGCTCTTTCCTCGCTCTGTCAGCAGAAAGAGGGTAAAAAGCAACCTCCTGCTGACCTGCCTTAGCACACCAAATTTTGCTATCTATCCTGCAGCAAAGGGGCTGTTGCAGCTGCTGGGAGTGTGTCAAGGACCCTGTCAGCAATGGGGCTGGGATATGACAGGAGCATTCGCAGAACATTCGCCTTTGTGGAGCCAGGCCTGGGGGAGGAGTCACGCTGCTCCCCGCTTACAGCATCCATGCACGGCAAGAAGCACTCCTCAGCTTCACGTGTGCTGTGCCCAGCTTGGGGGTATCCTAAACTTTCTTCTGGCTTTTTTACACCTTCACCACTTTGGTGAGCTGAAGGACACGCTGAGATGGTCTACATCAGGGGCCATGTGTAGACATCTTAACAAACCATATTTTAAAGGCAAATTAAATTGCATTCTCCCTTGAGAGGCCAAAATACACACCCTGTAGCTGCCCAGCATGGACATTTTTTCCCACTTCCCTAGTGAGATGTACAGAGACATACTGTACCTGCAGCATTTCTCACTCCACTTTGACTCCTGGACCAGCTTCTGCTGAGAGGTTGTGGATACAGGTACCACAGCCTGGCCGAGCCTGTATTTGTGTGGCCGTGTCCGTGTCCCCAGCCCCCTCCACATGGTTGCCGGTAACGACCAGGCTTTGCTCTGCTTCCAGGACTGGGAATGGAATCTAGGGATCTTGACAACTCCGATTCCCAAACAGTTACGTAAGTTATTGGTAAAAAACCAGTTGTGCATTTTATCTCCCCATAGCCTCCTCAGGTCTGTGGACTCTCCTGCCACTTACACCTGTGGCGAAACTGGCAACAGTCATCTTCATCTCTTTGAGACCGTGGATCCAGATGTGACTGACTGGCCTGGAAGGGGGAACAAATGAGAACTCAAGACAACTGTCTAAACTAATTTGCTTTGCAAAATGAGCTTTTGACTCAAATTTAGGTATCATAATATTTGTAATTTTTATAGTATAAGATTTTCTTTTATTCTTTTTTAAAGTGGAACGGTATTTGATTAACAGATAATGTAGCAGAGAAAAACCTTAATGCAATCCTAGTCCCATGAGCCCCAGCAGAGTGAGGACACCAGGGTGTAAGATGAGTTCATATGGGAAGTTAGGAGCCTTCATTGGTACATAAACGTTCAGAACTCACTTCTACCAGCCCCTCATTCCAGAAACTCTGCTTTAAGTGAAGGTGTAATGCCAGGATTGATGTTAATCCTCAGCGCCCAGATGTGTTGCTAATGATTGTCAGAGCCTATTGCTCATAGCTCCCCCATACGACCGCAAACCACTGCAACAGGAATACATAACTATTCTCAGCTGATGGCTGTTTGAATGTCCTTTCTTGTGCTGCAGCTCATGTGCCTCCAGCACCCATGTCACAAACTCACCTGCACGTTTTGCATTGCTGGTTATTAGCATTGACTAAATAGTGTGCTAAAATATTCTTCTGATCAGATCTGAGGTATACTGACAGTATCCATGGGAAGATTGCTCCACTGTTGCCTTGTATATAAACTGAAGTCCAGTCATGGGAGTTATCTGTACACAAAATCCTTACAGCTATCTTTCTTTTTGAAGACAAATACAATTTATAGCTACACAGCAATTAATTGTGCATCTTCAAATTATCTGAATAAATATTGGACGTAAATGGTGCATGCAAATGGACAAGGCCCACCAACCATGGCAATTAGGAATGGCCACATGATACTGAAGTATTCTCAGCATGCTGGCCTCACACGGAGATGGTTTGATACCAGATGGGTATCAAAGAACCTTTCCTCAAAGAACGTTGTTGGCACCAGAAAGATGTATACTGGCTGAGAAACTGCCTGCAGACAATAAGTCAAATAACAAGGGTAGCAGGACTTACAGAAGGACACAACTTTCCTAAACAAATACTCAGTAAGTTTATCAGAGAATCAAGACTCAAAAACCAGTCACCTCGCACTCAGAGACGTAGCAGAACTAAATAACGAAGCAGTTTCGTTTCAAGACACTATTGCAAGAGGAAAAAGAATGGCTTAGAAAACAAGACCGGGACAAACAGCCTTCGTGAAGTAGGAGGCACAGCAGGATGGAAGGAAAGAGAGCTGGGATTAATTCTGAAGAGCTTCCAGACGTATTGAAAAACCTGCAAGGTTACAGTTCTAGCTGGTAAGATAAAATTAAGCCCTAGGGCATTAAACTACTTACATTTAGCTATAAAACAATTATAATGACCTCTAATTTATCAAGAAAGCTTAAAAAGCTTTAAACATGTCTTTAAAGGATGCAGCATCAGGTCAGGTCGTCGGCGTCCTGTTGTTACAGGCCAGACTTGAGTGGTTCAGTACTCAAGGAGAAAAGCTTAACCATCTCTCACCAGAGAGATGCTGTCATGTACTGTGATAAAGCCTAAATGATAAAACAGATCTTTAAGAGAAAGCTTGCTGTAATAGGAGGAAAGTGGAAAAAAAAGTGCAATATGAGATGAGAGATCTCTTTTTGTTCCTCTTTCCTGTTTCTTTGTCTCCTTATATTTTTCAGGCAGCAGAGCCGTCACTTGTGATGTACTGAATCATAGGTGACAGGTGGTGTACCAAGAGTCTGCAACACGAGATACCAGTAGTTCATAACTGCTGGGGCACTACTCGAGCATACATGATGCCTCTGGGGTCAGATTTTTTCTTGTGCAACAGCGGCGAGGAGTAAGGGCCAACCCCATTCTTCCACAGACAGTGACTTTCGCACTCTGCTGCCCTTCTTTCCCTCTGAAGGAAAAAGGAAAGAGCTGATGGAAAAATAATGGTTGTCTACTGCAGGCTGAACTGCTACAGACCTTCAACTTGGTGCAAACCTGTCATTGCCATTGGTGGCACAGGAGCTGCTGACCAAACATGAGGCACCAGCCAAAACTTACAGCCCTCTATAGCTGATGTTAGTGAAAACTTTGTGGACGAACCTGGAACTAATCTTTGAGATTATGGGCATGGGCTTTTCCTGGGAGGGGCTCTTATTGGGCTGAAATAGTGTCTTTGTCGCAGCAAGAGGATTCTGCATCACCTAGAAGTCACACTTCATGAACTTTTTCAAAAGATCTGACCCAGCACAATACTGACATTTCTATATTAGAAACATATTTCTAAATGCAGAAAGAAATACATTTGATGTGTGGGTGTACATCTTTCTGATCCTTATTCATTTAAAATTAGAACAGAGCAAGGAACAAAAAAACAAAAGCTGTAGGATGAGTTTTGCATTACACAACGTAGTATGAAAATAATTTTATTAATCTATTCATTTTCATGATCATGATCTATGACACATTATCTGTGGAAAATAACTTTCTGACAGACTTTCAAAGTAATTTATTCTAATGCTTTTTGACATAGAAGTTTGCGTCTTACAATGCTTTGGAAAATTAGAAAACCAACACCAAGGCTGTCTAGAGGAACTCCTGTCTGGGAGAATAATCTGAGCAAAGTCACCCTTTTTCCATAAATGCCTCTTCCAGATTTTGCTTTAAAAATTAATCTTCTCTGGTGTGTCAGGAAAAGAAAAAGAAGACATTTATACCATTTGAAGATACTTTTCCTACTTTTCCAGGGAAAATGTGAAATGTCATCACATTTAGGGCTAAGCTGCAGAACAAGAGCAATTTCACCCATTGCAGACAAACTCATCTAGCCAATTTAAGCA